CAGGATTATTTTGGCATACCTTGACGTCGATATCGAGAAAACCACCCTCAGCTACTTCAAACATAAGACCCATTTTAGTACCCGAAACCACCCGATCGAAAAAGCACTGCTCTTCGTTGGCATCTATGTGAATAAAATATGCCGACGTAGAAGAAAACAAAGCAGCAACTGCTAGACAGAAGAATATCCTCATTTTGAAACTGCTTCTTCCAGCCCCTTTATTGCACTATCTGTCCTTGACCTGCAATGTTAGAGTACAAACCAAATCAACGTTGACAAATAAGCAAGAGGTGAACGTGCTTCCAACTACAGTTCTCGCTTAAAACTGCATAAAAGACAATAGCAACGAATTACTATGCTCTGTATGTACAATACATCCAATTCAGACGATCTCATGCTGTTCATTAAATGAATATCCATCAAGGGCACTGATGCATTATTCGCATAAAAAGGAGTACCAATACAATGTTATAAACTTATAAAATTTTTGTTTAAGCGAAGTGTCTGTATAAAAGAAAAAAAAATGCGGAAAAATGATGCCAACTCATGCACCATTCTGCAGACAGATTGATTCAAACAATGCATAATCATTGCACTATAAAGCCCATATTTGTAACGACACTTTCACGTAAGTTTATATATCTTCACTACTTCTAAACTCAACGTATTGTTAGGAGACGATTATTGCCTAAACACATCAATTCATCAAATTTTAGTCCCGTCACGATCCAGGTGGTGTTCGTTTATAAACCGTACATTTCATCTCTTTTGTATTCTATAAATGTGTAGAATCCAATGCTTCAAAAAGAATTTTTTTATATTCTTTTTTTTCAGAACCCTATTCAGTTAGTACTTATTTCAAGTTTTCATCTTCAAGCTTACAGGGGAATTTTTTTCTCAACTGCAGTAAAAAAGAAACTGCTTGTTTTCAAAGTGTTAATAATAAAACTTGGCCAATTTTTAAGTTACATATTTGGGTTAGTTCAACTTCGTTAATGATTATAGATTAAAAGTCAAGTAATAAAATTTTGATTTCTTCGTTCGCTACTTATGACTGACTTACATTTTAATCAATAAAATAGTAGAAGAATAAAAATGTTGCAAGTCCAATGTTTAACAGTAAAATTATATGCAATGATGTCCAATTTGAACAGGATGAATAAGAGGGGAAAAAAAGAAAATAAGAAAAATGGGAAATAAGAACCTGTCAAAAAAAAAAAAAAGAAAAAAAAACAGTATCAAAAACTGACAATACATACAGCAAAAACAATACTGATAACCACTGTTGGATAGCATATATTTCAGTTTTTAGAGCTCAGACTTTAACAACTTAAATACATACGTGTCACTGTGCAAAAATATAACAGCACTATAATTTATTTGAATTTTTTCCCCTGCTGCAAACAAACCCAAAATCTGTCCCACTGGACCGATGACCAAAAAAAAACAAAAAAAAAAAAAAAAATTTCGGTTTTTCTGCCTTCATTACTTTAGGAGATAACTTTTTCTGTCTACTCTGTATTCAGATCCTCCATCTTTCATAGTTACTTTGACATCTGTAATAAAAGAGGAACAAGTCACTTACAGTCGGAAACAAAATTTCCTCAATTATACAAAATCATTATTAAGTTTAACATTCATTTCATTGTTAATCACAAATAAATAATCTCAAAAAAAGAAAAAAAGAAAAAAAAAAGGAAAAAAGTGCGTAAAGACCGGAAAAAACAACAGCAGCAATAGGAAAATTGATCAACAAACTTTTTCTTCCGAAAATAAAATTAAAAAAAAGCACACATTTTATCGTCATTAATAATTGTGTTTCATTTCCAAAAAAAAAAAAAAAAAATTACCGGAACTTCAGTTTAATTTATCTCTTACATCACTCGTGCTATTATCATCATCGTCATCAGAAGGTTAATTTACCATTTGAGCAAAAAAAAAAAAAAAGAAGAATCTCACAGCAATGTCGTCATCAATATTATCATCAGCGGTAACAACATCAAAATAATAAGTGACATCAGTTGGCCCCCTGGCAATGACGCTGATGACAATACAGTTTAAAATGTCAACTGAAAACCTTAAGTGGTGGTTCACCGCCACATCAGTGGAGCAGCAACTTGAGGACGAACAATTGTTTAAGTTTGTAATGAAGTAAAAATTCATACTTCGATCGTCACCAACAGTGCATAGAACATAGTAAAAAAACGAACTATTAATTGGCAAATTACCAATACTTGTGATATTATTCATGCATTCCTTCGGCTTTGTGGTTTGAATCCAACCTGTTCTTTGTCGGAAAGGTTTTCTTCACTTATTTCCTTGGAATGCTTGTGTAGTCTTCAGTGTCTTCAACTTTTCGTCTTGTCTTCTTTATGGCTGTAAATGATCGTAATTTGTTGGTATCCATGTGAAGAAAATTTTTTGATAATTTATTCATGCATGTTTCTATCTACCTAGCTATCTAAATTTATATATATTTATGTTTTTGTACGGGTGCGTTTATATGTGGGTGTGTTTGTGAAGATATTTGAAGATATAAAAATGTTTGATGTATATGTAATTTGAATATTTACTGGTTTTTGCATGGTGCGTGCTTCGCCTGCGTATTTCTTCTGCTTCCATATTCGTAGTTTGTTATAGTGTTTCAACTGTCCTTTATACTGGTTATTTTTTCTTTAATAGTAATCCATTGATCGTCTGTTGGCTAAAACATAGGCATTTTTTTCTGCCATTTCATTAAATTTTGAACATTGTAGAGGAAACTGGTGGAATATGAGGATGTATTTTCAGTTAGACATCTGCAGAGTATAAAATTTTAGAAATACTTTCAAATATGATTTCAAGGAATTCGTTGTTGTTGTTGCCATCATCATCATCATCGTCACCGTCATCATCATTATCATTACTTAATTGGACATTTATGTTTCCTGTGTTGTGCACACAAATTATACTGCATTAAGGGATGTTGACTGCAAATTGCTTTACAAAAAGAAAAACTTGGTAAAACAGCTTTTTTGCAATTGCTGTATACCTCAGTAAAGTGTTTTTTTTTCTCTCTATTTTGTTAGCTTTACCTGTTTGTTAAACAAAAGCTTTATAGTGATTCTGTGGAATAGAATTTCTTCTTTCAATGATTTTCTTTGGTTTCGCTCTATTTGATTGCTAGTTTTTGATGGTTAAATAGAATCTTTTTTGCATTTTTATTTTCAGTTAGTTTTTTTTTTTGCTTGTTTACAAACTAATTTAACTTCTTCTAATATGAAAATATATATGCGAAAAAAAAAAGGTTTTTTCCTTTCAATTTTTAGATTAGACGACGTGCACTAAGGTAAATACAGTTTTGCTGATTTTACTGATCTGTTTTTAGCGTTTTCTTTATCAGTATTTATAAGATAGATGTTGTACAGATAGATGTTTTTTTTTAAGTAGAAAACTAATCCAATTATAGCAGTTATTTCATTGTTGCCATTTTTTTTTTTACTTGTCTCAGTTTTGCAAATATATTTTGTTGTTAAGTCAGTATTGTTAAATCTTTTTCTTTCGATCTTTTTTTTTTTTTTTTTGTGTTTTCATTTATGCAACAGTGAATCGTCTTGTGATTGATCATCATTGAATTGTGGGCATTTTGATAATCTTGAAAATTAACAACATGCAAAGAAAGAATTTTGTTTTTTTTTTTTCTTGAATTTTATGGTAAGTAAAAAAAAAAGGATGAATGTGAAAACAGAAATTGAGTTGTTTTTTGTTGTTGTTGTTGTTTTTGGTTGAAGGAAAAAGAAAAAAAAAATCGAATTTTTTTATTGCCTGATTGCGCTTATTTTTGTGCAGTTTTCTTCTGTTTTTTTTTTCCAACAGCTTAGTTAAATACACATTTTCCTTCTTCTTCTTCTCCTCTTTCCTCTTTTTTTTTTTATTTGTTTGTCATTTAAGTTTAATTGGTCGTTCTTTTATTTGTTTTGTTTTGTTTTGTTTTTAATTGCAAATCTTTTTAAAAGAATCCTTTTTCTTTGGATTGTTATTATTGAAGATGTAAAAAAATAATGAAAAAGTTTTCTTTTTGAATAGCTTAGTGTTAAGTAAGGTGAAGAGTAGTGAGTAGAATTAAATAAATTCTATGTAAATGTTTCTTTTTTGATTATTGGACTTAACTTGGAGAAAAAAAAAAAAAGAATAAGAAACCACTTAAAATATTTTAT